TCAAACTGATGGACAAACTGAAGTAGTTAATCGAACTTTGTCAGCCTTGTTGCGATCTGTAATTAAAAAGAATCTTAGAACTTGGGAAGATTGTTTGCCACATGTTGAATTTGCTTATAACCATTCGGTTCATTCAACTACAATGTTTTCTCCCTTTCAACTTGTGTATGGTTTTAATCCGCTTACTCCACTTGATCTAACCCCTTTGCCTTTGAGTGAAAGACTTAACTTAGATGGCAAGAAAAAGGCTGAGTTGGTTAAACAGATGCACGAGAAAGCTAAGGCAAACATTCAAAGAAAAACCGAGCAATTCCAAAGAAAGGCAAACAAAGGAAGAAGCAAAAGAACTTTCGAGCCCGGCGACCAAGTTTGGATTTATCTAAGGAAGGAAAGATTTCCCGAGGAACGGAAGTCTAAGCTGTTACCCCGAGTTGATGGACCATTCACAGTCTTAAACCGCATCAATGACAATGCCTACCAGATCGACCTCCGAGGTAAGTATACGGTCAGTTCAAGCTTTAATGTTTCTGACTTAGTTCCCTTTTTCCCAGATGGACCAGACTTGAGGACAAGTCATTTTCAAGAGGGGGGGAATGATACGAGCATGGACGAGGTGCGAACTGAGGGTCAGGCCGAAGGACTAGTCCAGGACGGAAATCAGGACCAAATGGCCGAGCTGAGCGAGATGGAGGTTCAGGAAGGAAAGTTGGCCGAGGTAAACGACCCAAGTCCAGACCTGACCGAGCTCACTGGTCCAATTACACGGTCCCGAGCTAAGAAGCTGTCCTTGGCCATTTCGAGGTTATATACCAATCTGATGACCAAGTTCACAGAAGCCACACCGAGCGACCGAGCTGTAACCCTCTTAGCTTATTCGGACGATGCGGCCCCTTAGCACTCTTTTTCCTTGCATCCGGGTTTTTCCCATGGGGTTTACCGGGTGGGGTTTTAATGAGGTTAAGGCCCACATCTTTCCTTATCCGAATTTGCTACAAGGCGTTACAAGAAGATGAAAGGCCATTCGCGCAAGAGAAGTCAATCGGTCATCCGAGGAAGCCGAGTGGTCCTTGATTGAATTCAATGCATGTATTTATTATTTCTGTCTTTTGCACTTCTTTCACGACTCTATATAAAGAGATCGAACCCTTTGTATTTTCTCATTCACTTTTGATCTAAATTTCGAGATTTTCTCTTGTTCTCTTTGAGTTTCCTTTCTTAGGTGGTTAGCCTTGAAAGTTTATTTGGGTTTATCGGATTCAATCCATAGGATTCGACGCAGCCTTCTTTGCATCTTGTTTTCGATTTCGTTCAATCTAGTTTTGGGGCAACAGGATTTTCGAGGCCAAGTCTCACGCCTGTTCATCCTTAACCCGCGAGATCATCACTTGGTGTCATCACCCCCTTGTTCAGTTCCCGTTTTTCGCGAGTTGGGCCTAAGGATCTTCGAGGCAATCCCTCACCCCTTAGCATCTCTCCGATCAAACCGATCTGGCCGAGTTTATCAACCCCTACCAAACGAGCAAGTGCAATTTCCTTGGGAGGATCATATCACAAAATTTGTTTCCTTAACCTTAACAACCACCACGTAAAGAATGATAATGGTGATGAGGCAAAGACACACAAAACAAAATGTGCTCATCCTTTTCATCCATCACATATCTTTCTTCAATACTTCAATCGAAGTCTTTACCTCCTCAACATCGGACTTGGCATTGCTCAGCTCACTTTCAATGCTTCTTAACTTAAGTAACCCATCCTCTACCTCTTCAAACACAGCATCCTCAACCCAATTAAACAAATGTCCCTATTGCATAAACAAGTATGATGGCTGTAGATATTTTTTGTTTTTTTGCTTGATCATTTTATTGTATAAAGACGTAACAGCTATGAATTGGAAAACGGTTTACCTCTTTTTTGCTTATGCAACGGTAGAAAGGTCTACCTGGATTGTCTTGTGTCTTCGAAGTCAAGATCATTGCCTCTAATCCACAAACACATTTTGAAGGCAATCCACGGTTCACTACACCGCATTGTTCCGAATTCGAATTCATCGGAATATGAAGTAATAGATGAGAAGAGATAGAACAGACGAGAATCGACCAGGAAGAATCAGACAGATGCGAACCACGCTTCCATTTGGTGCAAATCGGGGGTTTGAATCGAGTTGGAGAGAAATTTGGGGGTTAGGGTTTAGAATCGATTTTCTGATTTGGGAGTTTGATCGTGTGTTTTCATTCTGGAGATAAAATAGAAACGACGTCGTTTTGTTTTAACAGAGGATTAAACGAGGATTTGACCCCGTTAAACTGGTCCGTTTTTGGAGTTGACGTCGATCCTAATTATAACGAGTCAAATATTGTTAGCGATTTAAAACAGAATCAATGGAAAGTTGGTGTTTAAAATTTCCTACGTGATAGGTGGGGATTAAAATGGCCGAAATTTGAAACTTAGGATTTAAATTACCATTTTCCCGTTTTATAATATGTACTCATGAATTACGCAATGAAATCACTTTTTTTTTTAAAGTGTAACATAACAATATGATAAATGCTAATGAACGATATAAACATGTAAAATCACATTTCCGAAGTGTGATTATATATGCCAATCTACATTCCCTGTATCGATATTGGTAGGTCCATTACCCAAAAACTCAACTTAGAAATTTAATCGAGAGAGTCGAAGAATTCTGCGATGGACCACCTAAAGCAACACTCACTTAAGAAAAGAAAAGAAGAAAAAAACTGTATCGTATGGTGCAAGTCACTATACAAGCTTCAATCGTTATAAGCTTTAACTAGTTAGTGGATAAATCTGTAAACAACACAATCCATGTTAATATTTTTTTTTTTCTTATCAAAGAGAGGAGGATACTATGCATAATGCAATCTCAGTTCATCATTATACTGTGTTCTTATCCAAATCTCCAAGTCACTTTCTTTTCGCGTCTTGTCCTATATTAAAAGCTTGTATTTCTATCCACCAAGAGTTAACACATCCTTAAACAATCGAAAATAGCGACAGATTAGTGATATGAAATGTTTGGCTATGAAACAATGCTTAAGATAATGGTTTTGGAACTTTTTGTACATTTTCCAACGGGTCCATTTAGCAATAATTTGAGCTGTAATTAGGCTTTATATAATCATTTGTAGTTTCAGTATTAGACACTCCATGTAATGTATACAGCAATACATATCTAGAAAGTTACTGAATCTACATTTGTTGGAAATTTTGCAATGATATTAACATATTTCTCTTAAAAAAAAGTGTCTTTGTTATGTACAGAACAAGACGGCAGAATAAGCTTAAAAAAAGGGGGTTAAGAACATACGAAAAATTTACCTAACAAGAATAGTAAACATCTGATGAAAATATAGTATCAAAAGAAACTAAATGACCATGAAATATAAATCATCTCATATAATAAACAAATATAATATGTATATGATAAATTATTAGTTTAATTGGATAAATGATTAGCTGGAATTATCGATGAAATTGAGGGGGTAAAAGAAGAAGGCTTGGCAAAAAAGAAAAAAATAGAGGAGAACAAAATCAAAATGGATACGAATGGTTACACATTTGATTTCAAATTGTTTAAGAAAAGTTGAAGTAAGAAAAAGGTGGCAGACAAAAGAGTGAAGCAAAGTTGACAATTTGATGTTGCAAGCGTGAACATGAAACTGATGTCTTGTCATTTATTCCATGGTTCTTTGTTGTTTTTTTTTGTTATGAGATGTTACAATCTTTAGCTTTTAAATATTTTGGATCAGTCATTAACAATATACTGTATGTGATGATGTCATGAATTTTAGATCATACCAAGTCCCGGCCGTGTATCCGGCTAAACAGAAACGATTAACTCTAGTCGATTGTTATTTTCTTACAACTTTTATCAATTGCTTTATACGCTGATATATACAGTAAGAAATTGATACAGAATACAAATCCAATTGCTTGCAAAGACATTTCGATTGCTTGAACTATAAGCCTTTGGAATTCTTGGGGCAGCTTAAAGATGGACTGCCTTAATGGGAATGGGCTTTGTAGAAACGGCTCATGATCTCTTGCCTTCACTTTTTTTTTTTAACTTAAATCTGAGTTTCTGTTTAATTTTGGTTCATGTTCTTAATCTTAGTTTAGTAAAATAATTTATAAATCAATGTTATACAGTAACAAAATTATTATCTTCGATGAATCGCGCTTTCTTTTTTTGTGCAACCAACCATTTGATTTATACTTAAAACTGAAATCGTTACAAGGGAAAGAGCAAGCCAATTCAGAACTTGTTTTGCCAAAGTATCTGCAACTAAACTGAAATCGCACCTTTTCTATCTTTCTTTATCAAACAAATTCAAAAAATATTTAGAATATTTATTCTATTTGGAAACTCGCATTTAGTATTTTATTCTTCAAAGCAAATTCCACACTAATAATATAAGACGTTGATAGAAAAAAAAACATTAAATCTCATTTTTCGTGTTTTACAAGAAATCTGATAAAACTAATAACGCGATTAAGAAAGCTAATAAGTCTTCGTCCGCAATGTTGACTGACCCATTCTTCGTTCTTACTCCCTTTCTGTTTAGTTATTTCGATTAAATTAAATAACACTTTTGCAACAATATATAAATATATATTATGTGTGTTAATGAGAGTTCTAATATATGAATGTTGAATCAGTTGAGATTTAAGAAAGACATAAGTTAACTAGTCCAGCACTTCAAATATCACTCTGAAATTTTAGCTTGAGTTCGAATTCCCATGCATGGAGCGAGGTTAAAAGAAATCAATGCAAGCGGCTTAAGATACATGATTTATTACCAGTAAACATTATACTAACAAACTTAAGAAAATAACTAACCATAAAAGGGGGGAAAAAACATTCTAGACCATATAATATACTCGAATATACGAGCAGTTGAAATTGTGAAGTACATGCACCCCACTTGTCTTTTAGAAAATTCGAATTTTCACTCGCTATACCATATTGATACGCCTCAATATTGGTACGTAAACTTCCAATCAGTTTCCTATCCTATTCTATGTATATCTATATATTAGTATACTATTCAAAACAATATGTTATATACAGTTTTCGTTGAAAATTTGCTTAGAACATAAGGCTGCAGGCTGCAGCCGACATTAAGCGTGTCTATATAAGACCCATACTTTTGCAATTCCAACATATTTTCAAAAAGCGCACACACACAGAAAAAAAAAAATTTCAATCATCACCAATTTGTTCAATAACAAAAAAAAAAAAAGAGAGAGAGTATCGTATTGCTGACATGGCAAAGAGCAAGGACGGTTCGCTACTAAATCGGTTGAGACAAGCCGTGAATAAAGTAAAATTCGTGTTAAGTTTCAAGATAAACAGCCTCTGGGGTCTTGTACCGATGCTTGGTTCTTCCTCTTCTTCTTCGTCTCTTCGGTTTAGTTTCAACGATAGACCCGGTTTAGCAGGGGCTTGTACCGAGGAGAATGAACCGGATTCAACCGGTTCTTCAAGAGGAGCGTTGTGTAGAGCCGGGAGTTATGATCCATCTTCAGACGAAGACATAGACAGCAAAGCTGAGATGTTCATAGCTAATTTCTACAAGCAGCTTAAGATTGAGAGACAAATCTCTTTGGAACTTAAATATTGTTTGGGTAATAATCAGAGTTTCAACTACAGGTCGCCTTAATTTTCTCATTATTTATTCATTCGTTCATTTATTGTAATTAATAATAAGATCCCATAATTTTCATTGGGTCTTAGTTGATGATGGGGCCTGCTATTTTTTTTCGTGGTAGGCTTATCCGTTTGTCAGTACTCATTTGTGAGTCACATTTATTCATTTACATTTTATAATTTATGAATGTAATGATCTCATGAGAGAAAAATGTGATGATGTAATGTCATTTGATCGATTTGTGTATTTAAAGCTTTTGTTACTACTTGTTAACATATTATAAGCTTTTGCTTCTAGATTATTTTTAGCTTTAATTTCCATCCAAATATATGGTTAACAACAACAATGTTTCTAAAAGTCATTTTGAATGTCATAATCCTATAACCATTAAAGAAGTAGCTAACGTTAGAAAATTGTACGTTTTTGCTAATTTTTTTACACTTCATTTGATATTTTATATTGCACTAGAAAATCGTGGAATTCGAAGTTGTGTTGGTATCTTAAACACTTGAGTAGTCGACTATGATTTCATTTTCAGTAACTATCTAGACCACACATGGTGTAAATTTGGAGATAAAACTAGGTTATACCAAGACGTTTTCAAATTTCATTTACTACTGAGAGCATCCGATACCCGGATCATATTCACGCACAATCTTAAGGAGCCTACATGCATAAGTTTCTTCCGATCATCAAATCTTCTTGTCTTAATTTTCCTATTGAGTTGTGGTCCATTAGCCTACTACATTCTTCTAATGGATATGACCTACTTGGGCTGAATCTGCTGAATATTTATCTTTATTGGCGAATGGTTGACTTTCCCTTCTAGGCCCACACAATAACAGAAATATGAAATACCGACTCCGATGACCAAAAGTAATAATCCAATTTCACCACACTTTTTATCGTTTTGACTTTTGAAAATGAAGTCAATGAAGAAAATAAGCATATAAAATATTCAAAAAAACTTAGGCTAGAGATCAAATATTCTTATGAATAAACAAATCTAATATCGTGAAGCAAAATCGATAGATATGAAAAGATGAAGTAATTCATAAAGATCTAAAGCAAGTAGAGAGAAAGAGGTAAAGTGCTACATTAAGATCTCGAAAAAGTCAACGCCTTAATTAACTTTATAGAGAATAAGTGGCAAGATGAGACTGTTACGGGTCACGAAATTCGAAGCCGACCACGTTCTTAGTTTTATTTTACCAAATTTAAATTTGACTCCAATCACCCAACTTTCAATTTTGCAAGCTATATGTTATAATTTGTTTTTTTATTTGAAAGAATATGTATTTATATTAACATTCTTGGCCAGACGTTAGGCTTAGATCCACCACTTTTTGCTTCCAACTAAATCGCATATAGTACCAAGTACCAACAAGACCTAACAAGTTGAACTAATTTGACTTATATTTGTTGAACGATACTAGACAATAGATATGATAATTCCATGAGAATCCAAATTTCATTATAGATTTCTTTTTTAAAAACAGCATTCTATCGAACGACCGGTTTTCATAATTCACAAATTAAGCATAACTATAGTGAAATATACAAATCTAAAAAACTCGAATTTCATATTATGGTATTGGAGTTTCGAAATAGATGTAGACTCTTTCAACTATTGAGTTTTGACCAACTATTAGGCTGGATGAACTTTTGGTACTCAGATATTTACAACTAATTAGATTAATTATTTGTCATCTATATATAAACAAAAAGTGAATATATTACTAAATATAGATTACAAAAAAAGAAGTTAAAATTATGCTGAATCCACTATCATATTATAAATAAATAAATAGATAAATGCATGATAAATGGCGTGAAATACTGAAGCACTACACTTGCTTCGTTTACAAACTCTGCTTTGAACCTAGCTCACGTTCCTTAAGCTTCTCTAAAGCTCTTTTTTTGTTTCCCCATAACATCTAAAAAAACCCAAATGCGTTTCTTCTAAGGTAAAATTTTTATCGTCTTTTATTTAGTTTCTTCTTCTTCGCTCCTCTGTTTCAACATCTCTAGCTACCTCCATTGAAGAGGTAAGATGAAGTATCCTCCGAGATCGGAAGGCAGAAAGTTCATCATCCCTTCTTTCTTCTTCATCATAGCTCTCTGTGTATTAGCTTTCATCAACGAGATCAGATTCGACAGCTTATTGAGTTTCGGACGATGTGCTTTGTCGAATTTTCCGGCGAATAACGGTTCATTGGAGACTCCATTGTTGTCTTCTTCTTCTTCTTCAGATGATGATGAGATTAGGATTCTTATCGGAATTCTTACACTTCCTGATCAGTACCCACGTCGGCATTTTCTCCGGCTAATCTACGGTACACAAGCTATTCCCGACGGCGTTAAGATCGACGTGAAGTTCGTGTTCTGTAATTTGACTAAAGAAGACCAGAAAGTGCTTGTCGCTTTGGAGATCATGCGTTATGATGACATCATCATACTCAATTGCAACGAGAATATGAACAAAGGTAACTGGTTATCTCGGTTTAAAAGTCAAATTCGGTTCGGTTTGATTTAAATAATAGTTTGGTTTGAGATCGAATTTTCCAAATTCAGACAATTTCTCTTATTTTGGTTTGGTATAATCATAAAAAAGATCTTGGTAAATTTTGCTTTTCTTCTTTCTTGGTTAAATACTCTTGGTAATTGTTTGGTTTGGTTTTTGTGTAAACACTAAACACCGCATGTGCTATTTTCGTCACCTAGACTTCGGTTCATGTTATTTATATGTGATAGATTTTCGGAAACTCTTTATTAAAGATAAGAAACATGTTCACTCTCAAAATATTAGTTTGATGCTTAAGCAACATCCGAATACTCAATGCTAAATCTATGCATTAATTTATAAAAGTTTTCTTTGGGTTTGTCTGTTTTAATTTGGTTTGATTTGTTTCATTTTATGTTCACCCATAGACTGTTGATATCAAATATTGCCCAGTTTGTTTGCTCATTTGTCATTTGCATCTAGATGATCCATTTAAATGATCCATTTGGATGAGTCATTTGAGTGATGCACATTACAAATGAGCAAACAAACATTTAAATGAGAAATTGATAAATGAGTAATGAAAATGAGATTTTACGTTTTTGGCGAGAAAATTAGATTTTACGTTTTAACGGAAAACAAGATTTTATGTTTTCTACGAAAAAATAAAATTTTATGTTTTTTGACGGAAAAACAAAATTTTACGTTTTTTGACGAAAAACAAAATTTTACGCTTTTTGACAGAGAAAAACGAAATTTTACGTTTTTGACAAAAAAAAAACATGATTTTACGTTTTGACGTGAAAAAAAAATTTGTTTTTGAAGGAAAATCAAAATTATATGTTTTTAACGGGAAAACGAGATTTTACATTTTTAACGGGAAACGAGGTTTTATGTTTTTTAAGGGGAAAACGAGATTTTATATTTTTTTACCAAAAAACGAGATTTTACGTTTTTAACGAGAAAACAAACTTTTACGTTTTTAACGGGAAAACGAGATTTTATGTTTTTAACGGGAAAACGAAAATTTACGTTTTTAATGGGAAAACGAAATTTTACGTTTTTAACGGAAAGACAAGATTTTATGTTTTTTGACAGAAAAATGAGATTTTATGTTTTTAACAGAAAAACGAGATTTTAAGTTTTTAACGGAAAAACGATATTTTACGTTTTTTACACGAGATTTTACGTTTTTGACGGAAAGCGAGATTTAACGTTTTTAACGTTAAAACAAGATTTTACGTTTTTAACGAGAAAACGAAATTTTATGTTTTTAACAAAAAAATGAGATTTTACGTTTTTTGACGGGGAAATGAAATTTTACGTTTTTGACAGGGAAACGAGATTTTACGTTATCTGATGGGAAAACAAAATTTTAGGTTTTTGACGAGAAAACGAGATTTTATGTTTTTTTTACAGTAAAACGAGATTTTACGTTTTTGATGGGAAAACGAGATTTTATGTTTTTGACGGGAAAACGAAATTTTATGTTTTTGACGGGAATACGAGATTTTACATTTTTTTATGATAAAACGAGATTGTACGTTTTTTACGGGAAAACAAGATTTTACGTTTTTGATGAAAAAACGAGATTTTACATGTTTTATCGAGAAAATGCGATTTTTTTGACTGAGTCATGTTCATCCAAATGCTTTAAATTGAATCAGTTGGATGAGTTTCAAATTTCTTCATAAATTTATAAGTCATCCAAATGATTCATCTAGATGTATCATCTAGATAAGTCAATTTGTGTAATTAAACAAACATCATTTGACTGATTCATCTGGATGATCCATCTAAATGAGCAAACATAACAGGCTCTATCTAGTTTTCTGTTTGGTTTGGATTCACCTTATTTACCGTTCGGTTTATTTAGTTTGATTCATTTTCTACTTTCTATTACGATTTTTTTTTGTGGTTCAATCTTTAGCAAGGTTTAGTTCCATTTAGACCGGTTTACGTAACCGAATTGGAACAATGGTAGGATTTTCAACTAATTCAATTTTTTTTCCAAATGTATCCACAGGCAAGACGTACACTTACTTCTCAAGCTTACCAGACCTATTCAACGAAACCAATTCACAAAACCCACCGTACCATTATGTAATGAAAGCCGACGACGACACATACATAAGACTAGAAAGCCTCGTCGCATCTTTAAGACCATTACCTCGAGAAGATCTCTACTACGGCTATGTCATTCCATGTCCAAGCATGGACCCATTCGTACATTACATGTCAGGTATGGGTTACTTAGTCTCATGGGACATCGCGGTTTGGCTCAAAGACTCGGAGATTCCCAAGAAGCATCTAGAAGGTCCTGAAGACAAAGTATTTGGCGATTGGATTCGAGAAGGAAGACGAGGAAAAAACCGGTTTAACGCTAAATGGTCCATGTATAATTTCCCCGAGCCACCAACTAGGTGCACGCATGAGCTTTGGCCTGATACTATCGCGGTTCATTTGTTGAAGAACCAAGAGAAGTGGATACGGACGTTGAATTTTTTCAATGTTACTAGTAATCTTAAGCCTTCTAAATTATACCACATACCGTAGATAGTTTTTTTTCCTTTTTCTGTTTGTTTTTACCGGGTTATTATACATAAAATTGTTTTTATAAAACTAGAATCGATTAAGTCTTTTTGGTTCGTGAAAGAAAAACCATGATCAATATTTGATTTGGTTTTAGATAACAGGGGATCGAAAATCGAACACGGAATCTTTAACTATAGAAGTTTATGAGTCGTTAAACTCTTGATCAATCTTTGGTTTGGTCTATGAAAAGCTCTGATCGGTTGAATTTTGCTCTATTCTCAGCATACATATATTCATAATTAAAAAACTTAACATTATTGCCAAAGGAAATTACCTATTCTAAAAATTAATTTCCTATTTTTATTATCAAAACGTGACTTTTCCTTTTTAGTTTAAGGTTATGTTCATTCCCTCTTCTCCAGATTATATAGATCATAGAAGAAAAAGAAAATGAGTGAATTAATGAGATTCTCTGCGGGTTTAATCCACAATTTCAGTCTCTCATGATCTATTATATATAATAACAAGTCATGAGTCATGACGTAATCATGCATAAGCAGCTGGTCGATCTAAAATCTTTATTAAATTCGCATGATTTATTTTCGTAATGATTCTTCTTAATATGCTTAATATTTCATACATATACAGTATATACTATCTTTTTACTGTTTTTAAAAAATTCTGCAAAACCGTTTTCATTTTTTTTTTTGCTTCCGCGTATCCACCCACTTCAAATTCGGTGGCTGCATTACAATTTTCATTTTTTGACGTCGCATTACATTAGCTCATTAAAGTAAACTTGAGTTCTTTTTTTTTTTTTTTTCATTTATGATACTCAAAAACGAGAAATGTACGTTTTCTTCTACTCTAAACTTCATTTTTTCTAAGTTTGAAGGGAAGATCCATTTTTGTCATATGCAACCGGTTTTAGGGTAAGTTCGTCATTTTCGCAATAGCTGAAGAAGGGAGGCGGCTTGGGCGTGAATGGGCCTCACGAACTGGATACAACTGTGCCTGTGACAGAAATTATATCACAGACGAATTAGCAAAAGGGTTTCTCGAACAAAAGAAAAAGCATAAGAGCTCGTGACCTAAAGAACCTCACTGCCAAGTGACATTATCATTGCTCATCGAGAGCGTTGGTCTCTCCCTTCCCTTTGAGTTTCTCGAGGCCAAAATTTTTTTTAACTTTGCTGCTTACTGTCTTCTTCGAAGGAAAAAAAAATTAGCCGCCGTTGCCTGATTCCCGTCGCCTGATTCCATCACCGAGGCGACGGAGCTGTTAGGGTTTATCGAGCAGTTGGGAAGCGTTCTTTGATATCTATTCGTCGATCTTCCATTTGCGTAAGGAATCTTTCCTCATATTCTCTTGTTGATTTTTGGTGTAGTGCGAATTTGATTGTTTTTTTATTCTCCGGTGGTGACTTGTGTAGAAATGAGTTTAGGTTCGGATATTTTGTGATTCATGTGGGCTAGTTTTGAGTTAGATTATACGAGTGATTGCGTGAAGGGAATGATAGATTCTGGAGATTGGCTTTTGATCGATTCGATTCTCTCGATCTCTTTCTCGCCATTTTGTGTGTGTGTGTGTTTGCTTCTATAGATAGTTTCGGTAGATGTGGTTGGATATCTGTGACTGAGGATGACATATTCTGATCACTTTTGTGACTCTCTTTGATATTCCGATCATTTGTATAGAAGAGATCTTTAATTGTAGGAATTTAAAATATTCCTACAGAACTTGATTAATCTAGAGCAATGTTGTAACTTGGAACATAATTTTGTTGTTTTTTAATGTAAATTTTTGCAAACTTGTTATCTTTGATATCCATACTCTGTCCAGCAGACTTATGATTCTGCTTTGCTTGTGAATTGTGTCAGTGTTGCTGCGTCTCTTTTCTACATCTGAAGATGGGAAGCAGTCCAGCTCCATTTCCAGAGATTGGCAAGAGCGCCAAAGGTAAGTTATCAAATTTTGGGCACTGCTTTGGGATGCTCTCTGCGGTTCGCATTGTTTCTCAGTGTTGGCCATTTTTTTGACTATTTGATTTATCTGCAGATCTCTTGAACAAGGATTATATTTTCGACCAGAAGTTTACTCTGACAATGCTGAGTGCCACAGGAACGGTATGTTGGATATCCATTTTGAACGTGAATAGATTAAATCCGTCTTATAGAAAACATAATTTGCTTATATGACCTGTTTTAAGATTATCATAGAATCTGTACTGCTACTTATTTTTCTGGACCAAAGCTAATGGGAGAACTTAAGAATACTTGCCTTGTATGCTTTTGAATCGTAAAATGAGTGCAGTATTTCGTAGAAGCATGATCTTTGATAGCTAGTATATCCAGCTCATGTATATACTTTAGTTTCTAAACATGGCTTTTGATGTATCGTAAGTTGGAGAATATTTGTCGTGATTCTTGTATCATAACCTTGAACCTATGTAACAATATGCATAATGAAATTTTATTTCCAGCAGGAATTTGTGGCTACAGGTTTGAAGAAGGATGATTTCTTTTTCGGCGACATTAGCACACTGTATAAAGGTCAAAACACCATTGTTGATATGAAAATCGACAGCCACACGAGTGTAAGCAAAAATATCTGCAGTGATACATGCTTTCTGATCTTTTGCACCTTAGCTTTCCTAAACCATATTACTGAACATATATATGCAGGTGTCGACGAAAGTAACCGTCAAAAACATCATGCCTTCTGCTAAAGCTGTTATCAGCTTCAAAATACCTGATCACAAGTCTGGCAAGGTGAGTGCATAGCACATATGAGGAACGACTATTATTAGTAGTCTTAAGTCTTCTGAATATGTCACTCAATTTTTGTACTCTTGACCAGTTTCTTTTGCTATATTTCAGTTGGATGTGCACTATGTTCATCCTCATGCTACGCTCAATACCAGCATTGGCCTAAACCCAACTCCTCTGCTAGATCTTTCAGCAACTATCGGAAGCCAGGCTGTTTGCCTTGGTGGTGAAGTTGGTTTCGACACAGCTTCCTCGTCACTAACCAAGTACAACGCAGGAATCGGTTTCAACAAGCCAAACTTCTCAGCCGCGCTCATACTGTAAGTAAACAACATGACATGGTCCATTTTTTCAATCTGGTTTCATGTTTTGGCTTTTTTTTAGTGGAACTAAAAGACTGTGAGTTTTCAGGGAGGATAAAGGGGAGAGTCTGAGAGCTACTTACGTCCACACGGTGAACCCAACCATATCCGTTGGTGCAGAGCTGATCCGTCGCTTCTCGAATGATAACAACAGTTTCACAATCGGAAGCTCTCACTCTGTGGATAGATTCACAACGGTGAAGACGAGATTATCTACGAGCGGGAAAGCAGGGATGGTAGCACAGAGAGAATGGAGACCGAAGTCGCTCATAACTTTCTCAGCTGAGTATGACTCAAAGGCTGTGGCCTCTTCACCGAGGTTTGGTCTAGCTCTAGTCCTCAAACCTTAAAAGAAGAAAGAGCTCTCTCTGTTTGGAACACAAATTTAAAAAGATGATTCGATTTTTTCTTCTTTCACCAAGTGCTGAAAACCGCCCCCCAAACGAAGGTTTGTAGGGTTAATTAGATCACTTTTGCATTCTTATTCTGTGTTTCATTGTGATGTGAAAGAAAAGGGAGTGAGAAAACCCGACCTTTTTTGAAATGGAAACTTGTTTTTTTTGTTTCTTTCGACTTTTTGTTTCCATTGATCGAATCTGTAAACGAATCCGTCATGCCAGAACTAATCCATCAGGATTATAACAAAAAAAACATAAAGATGTGATGGAGCAATAATTGAAAGTTGAAGTTGATTTACAATTGCTTCCATAGTGAATGTATATATATTGACATAAACAACTAGTAGTTAGACATTCGGGAGGTGAAACTTTATCATATGACTCTTGAAATTTTTGAATTAATTCAGTTCCATATAATTTCTAGTCGAAGCACTTTATCAAGAATCATATAACGATTTTCAACAACAATATGCGAAGATACACTATGACTATATGTATTTGGCGTATTATTAAATTCGATTTTCTTATGGGACTCAAATATCACGATTTGGAAGTAATATTATAATTACTGTTTGTGCCATTGAATTATCTGCAAATGACAAATGTTATATCATTAGTCCAACCCATCCAATGTTCTCACAGTATCTGTCAAACTGTCTTGTCTCTCCAATTTTCTATTTCAACTTATTTACCGCACATGAAATGTTTTTGCCTCTTTTATTTTTCAAACTTTACTCATCTAGTTCGAATTAATAATACCACTATTCTCAATGAAAAATGTATTGCCTCTGTAACTTCGTTTCTAATCACACATTTGCATGCTAAAATATGATATTTAAAATCACAAACATATACCAAACTATATTTTTCTTCTTTATGCTAGATTTTTCACAGATGAGTTAGCCAGTTATTTAGCTGTACCTAGGTATGTTCATTGCGGGTAAAATAACAAGTAAAAGTGGGTAAGATGGGATAACGAACTGTATTTAAAACAAAAAAAAAATCGGGTTGACAACAAAGATGCCTAGTAGAGTAAGTGTTGTTAAAATCATCTTTCGAACGAATAATATGGATGACGAAAATCATTATCTGAATGGAATTTTTATTATTATATTGAAAAAAGAGGTAGTGTTTTTCTTTAAAAAAAGTTAGATAGTTTTGTAAAATGTTGGGTAATTTCATATCATTTAAGATCAATTTTAAATAGTAACTACCCGTTTCGCGTATATCCAACCCGACCATCATCCGTTACAATCAATTACGTTGATCCAAAGGAATGATTTCAGTCTGCAACAACCCCAAAATCATAATATGTTTTATCTGAAAAGTTATGGATAACTTGGGCTGGATACGGTCAGGTCAAAAACGCTCTTAACCAACATATGAACATAATTACCTATACCTTTCACTTCACTTCTGCAACAACCCCAACATATTTTAACCTTATTCACTTTTGCAAACTATCACATCATCACATCAATTCTTTACCTTTTCATATTCGCACCTCGTAGAAATAATACGTTTTGTTTGGTATAATGGAAATCATAATATGTTTTACCTATTTTTACGATCAACAATTCGTTTACTTCGTTTTATTCAATTTTACGCTGTAAATTTATAACCAAACCTAACACAAATAGGTTCCTTCTTTATACGTACTTAGAACTCATTCGTAAACTTAATAGTTTTAAATCGCGTGAAGTACGTTTGTTTTTATTTACAATAAAAATGTGAATCCAGAAAGGAAAACACTTTCTATTCTTTTTTTTTTGGACGACTTAAATTTTTGAAAGGTGACAATTTTGACACATACGAAATCCGTTACAAATGTTCTCAACTTTGTGTGTCATCATTATATAAAAAGTCTTTTTTGTGTGTCAATTATCTAAAAAGTCTAAAGACATTACTTGATAAAGAAAAAAAACGCAAGGAAAAGTCTAGAGCTGACTAATCCATTATTTAAGAAGTATACGAAAACAAAAAGGAAAGTCCCAAAACATATGTTGACTGTAAATCACTCAAATCCAGCAACTCCATTACTCATAGCCTTATATTAATCCAAAAAATATTTTTTTCCAAAACCAAAATTCTTGTTTTTCATATTTCTCCTCTTCTTTTTTTTACACTTGTTCTCTTTCAACGTCCCCACCTATTTCCTCTTTCTTCTTTCACCATCACCAGGCTATAATAGCTTTTCAAAGCTTCTTCATTTTTATATTAGTTTCCCCTGTAAGTTTTCTCGAGAGAAATTGTCAAAGAAACTTTTTTTAAAATTTTTTTTTTTTAAAAAAAAGAAACGTTTATAAATTGAGAGAGACCCTTCTCTTCTCTATTCTTGATCTCTCAAAGCTTTCACCTTTATTTTTCCCTCTTCTTCTCTCATTTTCATTCAGCCGTAAAGCTCACACCTTTCTGAAAAAATCCTCTGTTTTCTATTTTCGAGAAAGAAATCCTCTGTTTTTCTCTTCTCCCTTTTAAGCTTCCCTCCTCAGAGAAAAAAAATGAAAGAGTATTGGACATCATTAGCTTCACTTCTCGGCGTCTTAGCTTTTTGCCAGAGCTTAATGCAATCAATATTCCCGCCGGAGCTCCGTTTCGCCTTCCTGAAATTCTTCAACCGAATCTTCCACCTCTTCTCTACCTACTGTTACTTCGACATAACGGAGATTGACGGCGTCAACACCAACGAGCTCTACAACGCCGTTCAGCTCTACCTAAGCTCCTCCGTTTCAATCGCCGGAAACCGTCTAAGCCTCACTCGCGCCGTCAACTCTTCCTCCATCACTTTCGGCCTCTCCAACAACGATTCCATCGTCGACACCTTTAACGGCGTCACCGTCCTCTGGGAACACGTCGTCACTCAGCGGCAGACTCAGACTTTCGCCTGGAGACCGTTACCGGAGGAGAAACGAGGGTTCACTCTCCGAATCAAGAAGAAAGACAAAACCTTGATCCTCAATTCGTACTTGGATTACATCATGGAGAGAGCCAACGAGATCCGCCGGAAAAACCAAGATCGGCTGCTTTACACGAATTCTCGAGGTGGGTCTTTAGATTCGAGAGGTCATCCATGGGAATCTGTTCCGTTTAAGCATCCGAGCACTTTCGAGACTCTTGCCATGGATCCGATTAAGAAGCAACAGATCATGGACGATCTCAAGGATTTCGCTGAAGGTCAATTGTTTTATCAGAAAACAGGTCGGGCTTGGAAAAGAGGATACTTGCTTTACGGGCCTCCTGGTACTGGTAAGTCGAGTATGATCGCAGCCATGGCGAATTATCTCGGCTACGACATTTACGATCTCGAGCTCACTGAGGTTCATAGCAACTCGGAATTGAGGAAGCTTTTGATGAAAACGAGCTCCAAGTCGATAATCGTGATTGAAGATATTGATTGTTCGATCAATTTGACGAATCGGAAGAAGAGCGGTGGTGCTAGTAGTAACGAGGCTGCGAAACGGAGCTGTTACGACCCGGAAACACGAAACGGGTCGGGTTCAGGGGAGGAATCTGGTAATGGGAACACGATAACGTTGTCGGGTTTGTTGAATTTTACAGACGGGCTTTGGTCTTGTTGTGGGAGCGAGAGGATATTCGTGTTTACGACGAATCATATCGAGAAGCTTGATCCTGCATTGCTGAGAAGTGGGAGGATGGATATGCATATATATATGAGTTACTGTAATTTCCCGTCGTTGAAGATTCTGTTGAAGAATTATTTGGGGTATGGGGAAGAAGATATAAACGACGACGTGTTGAGGGAGATGGAGAGAGTGGTGGAGAAGGCGGAGATGACGCCTGCTGACGTGAGCGAGGCTTTGATCAAGAATCGGAGGGATAAGGAGAAGGCGATTGTGGAGCTGTTGGAGGATTTGAAGAGTAGAGGGGAGATAAATGTGAAAGATGGGAAGTTGAGGGGTCATAGTGGAAATCTTACGGAGTTGGAAATTGTGGAGGAAGAAGAGAAGAGGGCTATAGATAGTCAAAATGAAGAAGAGGATAATGATGAAGAAGAAATTGAGCTTGAGGATAATATTTGTAAAGACTAGAGAAGATTAAAAACGTGTTTTTGTTGTTTTTGTTTTCAAGTTTACAATGTAGAACAAATTGGAATAAGTTGTTATCTTTCTTCTTCTCTTTATTTGTTGGGTGAAGGATTTTGTTGTTTTGGTTCTTGAAAGAATTAGATGAAACTGTGTGATATTGACAGAACAAGAATGTGTACGAAATATAAAAGTTTTTAACTAAAAGAAAGTGAGAAAAAAGGTTAGAAAGGTGGTGAAAAAGGCAAATTGCTGATGAGGATTTTGTATGTGGGGAATGGGAAATGCAAAAGATGGATCTCATTGGGTACCATTAGCATTATGGATTAGGACATAAAATAATATTGGACCAAATATTTGTCAATCACTCTATAACCATGTGTGGTCAATAATTTAGGTAGTACCGTATGCATTTTGCATATACAGTCACATATACGATTACACAGATTATTTTATTTTTCAAACTCATCCAACTATTATTGTTTTCAGTTCAAAAGGCAAGGTTCGCACGGAAATAATTTTAGGTTAATTCCCAATATATATCATACTAATTGAAATTAACTTAATTATATACTAATCATATTTATCTGCACATCCAAAATAGACTGAAATTGAATTTTTAACAGTTTTGTCTATCCTTAACCGAAATCGACATATATTCTGACAATCTGACTTGTTGTAGCGATCCAAGGATTTAAATATTCAAACACTTAACCTCAATTAGTAAACTATTTAAAATACAATAACTACTATTATTGCCTATATTCATATAAGAAAACGGATCATACTGATAATTTTAGTACCCAAAATTCTAAATCGCTAATACACATGATTCTCAGATTATGACGATATGGAATACTTAATCGCTACCTTTGTGTCTAGTAGCATGCAATTGCCATTTATTAATACTGTGAATGATATAATTGGTACTTTTGCGTGGTGATAATATAGCTGTCATATGTTAGGTATAGAGTTTAGAAATTAGAATCATTCTTCCATTATAATATCATTATGCTTACGTTTTTATCTGTCAATGAACACTCAAATTATATGTTCTTCTAATGAAATATGAAGTGTTAAAGACTTAAAGTTGACGATTTGGTAGGCCAAGTTGCTCAAAATCTCCTTTTTC